TGGGGTGGAGTCTCCCACCGGGTTCCCCGATCAACAGGGAATCTACTTCTCCCTCTGCCTCTCCCCTGAGCCCCAGCCACCGCCGGCTTGTGCGCTCTCTCTCTCTGTCTCTTGCTCTCTCGCTCTCTCTCTCTCTTAAATAAATAAAATCTTTTCTTAAAAATTACTTTTATAATAAAAAATGAACTATCTGAAAGGTTCTTGAATTGAATCATTAAAAAGCTTGCCATATCCCTGAGCCCTGGTCCCAGATTCTCTCTTGAGTCTCTCTCTTGCTTCTGTGCTAACAGCACTGTGTGGAGACGCTGTATACTTCCTCTGTAAAGCCTAAGTCTCCTCCCATTACACAGTGGCTGGTGTATGTTCCTACAGAATCACAGGAGACTTGTTTCTGTAAACCTAAGTGCATAATAAATGTGCCAGGAGGAATTGGGTGTTTGGGGAAAATCAGGCAGAAGGGAAGGACAGAAACCTTGGGCTTTCTGCAAAGCTGCTTCCGGTCCCTGGAGGCCACCTGCGGTGAAGAACTCCAGGATCAGGCTACAAAAAGGGTAAAAAGAGACCTTGAACCATTTCTCCCATTTCTCCATCTCTGATGTGTATTCACGGAGCTGAGGTGGCTGAATTTCTCCCGGGCTACTCACAGGGAAGTTGGAGCCACGAGGAATCTGGAGCCTCGTGAACAGAGATCCCAGGCTCCCCTGGGCGTCAGCTCCTGACTGAGATGCGAAGGGGTCCCACACCCACCAAAGCCAGAGTCTGGGAGAAGCAGCCGTCAAGTCAGTTCCCAAAGGCAGCAGTCTGGGTTGCTCTGGGCTGCTCTCTGGTACCCTTGGCTGAGAATCGCAGTCCTCCAGAAGACAATGAGAGAGCTGGGGGTGGGGTGGGGGGTTTCCCCACACAGGACTCCTATCTCTGCTACTCTTCCATCAAGATTTCAACATCTTTATCTGATGTGCTAATCCCTAGGGCAGCTTTGGAAAGCAAAAGGCCACTCTTCCAGGACGTGAGAAAAAGGAACGCACCTGCACCACTGGTGGGAAAGCAAACGGGTGCAGCCACCGTGGAAAGCAATATGGAGATCCCTTTAAAAATTCAAATAGAATTACCATATGATCCCCTAATCACACTCCTGTGTATCGACCCAAAGAATACGAAAACACTAATTCAAGAAGACATAAGTACCCCGTGTTGGTTGCCGCATGATTTACGATAGCCAAGATATGGAAGCCGCCCAAATGCCCATCCACAAATGGGAAAGAGGACAGAGAAGACGTGGTACACGTCCACACGGGCTACCACTCAGTCATAAAAAAGAATGAGATCTTGCCATTTGCCACACCATGGATAGACCTACAGGGTATTATGCTAAGCGAGGTAAGTCAAACAGAGAAAGACAAATACATACGATTTTACTTACATGTGGAATCTAAAAAACAAAATAAGTGAACAAACAAAAAAACAGACTCTTAAATACAAAGAACAAACTGGTAGTTGGCAGAAGGGAGGTGGGGGGCGCGGGGGATGGAGGAAACAGGTGAAGGCAGTTAAGAGGTACAAACTCCAGTTATGAAGTGATTACAGTAAGGCAGAGGCAATACAGTCAAGAAGATGGTCATAATGCGGGCGCCTGGGGGGCTCAGTTAGATAAGCTTCTGCCTTTCAGCTCAGGTCATGATCTCAGGGTCCTGGGATAGAGCCCCACATCGGGCTCCCTGCTCAGCGAGGAGGCTACTTCTCCCTCTGCTTCTCCCTCTGCCTCCCCCCCGTTCATACTCACTCTCTCTCTCAAATAAATAAAGTCTTAAAAAAAAAAAAAGATAGTCATAGTGGTGTACGGTGACCGATGGTGATCCCGCTTCTCACGGTGAGCACAGAGGATGACAAGAACTGCTGAAGCCACGAGCCCACAGAGCAAGCCTTCACCGTATTAGCTATAGTCTATTCTAGTACTTTTCATTCCAATCTTTTTTTTTTTTTTTTAATGCTGGTCAGGACCCAAAGAACTGAAATTCTAACCCCATAATGGGTTACGAGCTGCAGCTTGGAAAGGATAAAGTAGGAGGGTAAAGTCAGATCCTGCACAAGAAATGGCTGGCACAGTGCCTGGGATATAATGCACATTCGTCAACCGGGAGCCCCGGCTGTTACTGTTACTTTGTTATTGTTTTATATGCTGTTGTTGGCCCTGCTTCTTCAGAAGTCCCTGCAGCCTGGCAGAGATGATGCTCTTATTCTAGGACAGAGACTTCTACTCATGTATGCACCCAAGTAAAATCCGAACTCATCCCCACTCCAATTTGGGGGACTGAGACCTTGGTGATAATGGTTTGCAAAAACTTTGCTTCTCGAAAGGTGCAAAGGATAGGACTGAAAGGATCCAGTTCACCCAGCCAGTTAGTGATAGGCCTGGGAGTCCAACCACAGCTGCCTGGCTTCAAGACCCACCATCACTTCCTGAGTGAGTGACAGATAACACACCCAAGGTTTTCTGCAAGCTTCTCCACATACTTCTTCTTTCATACTGTGGAGTGAGAAACGATACAAACAAAATATGCCCAGAAAAAAAAAAAAAAAAGTCAAGTCCTACGTACCAGGAAAATGAGCAAAATTCGGGCAACACCTGATCCCTGACTCCTGCAACGGCCAAGCACACTGACAAGAAGCATTGTCAACTGGATTATTTTTAAACTCCACTGCTCTGCATTCCCTGAACTCACACACACCATACCGGCCCAAGGGAAACCAGCTTTTAAAACTTGCTTAACATTCTGAGTTACCTAGAAAAAGGACTGAGTACTCTGGTCACAAAGAGCAAATGTTACACAAGGCGTTCTACTATCGCTCCACATTTTTGCAATAAACAGATGGCCTCTCTGCACCATGCTTAGATTTGCTATTTTTTTTATTATTAGTGGGTCTATTAAATATTTACATACATCAGCACTTTACATCAATATTTAATAAAGTCCCACTAATTGAAAAGGTCATAGTTGGGCAACAATGCCAGGCAGAGAGGTTCATGTATCAAGCCCTTAACGACTGGCCTTCCCAAGTTCAAGGAGGATAAATCAGCAACATTAGCATCATTTTATAGAAGGATTTTTTTTTTTAATGTATACAAACAGGGGACTTTTCTAGAAAAATAAGAGCATTCTGCCTTACTTACATTACTATTTCATTAAGCCCATCATGATGCAGGAATTAAAACAGAGAGCTCAAGGTGACTGAACATTTTTCAATTAAAAAAAAAAAAAAGACTCTACCCACTCAAATTACCTAAGAGAACACAATTCAGCTCACCTTAGCCTCAGGTTCATTTTGGCAAGTTACAGAGGAGCAAAAACTTGTACTCGGCAAATTCCGGGAAAGCAAAAATTCTTTCGCCAGGAATCTGGTTAAGGAGTAGCTTTTCTTCTTACTCCTCCTGGCTCAAAATCTTATTAAAATTAGGCCCTTCCATGGAGACAAATCAAGAAAAACTGTATTTCCTAAAAGAAAATTATTCAGAAAATACTGGAGCAGTTACAGGATTCCTGTGAAGTGTTTTTGCTTCACGGACTAATTTCTAATCCGAATCTCAACCACTTGCATCAGTAACACCAAGTATCGATTTCTTCTGTGTTTAGCGAGTGTCTGAGGACTGCACGCTTATGCACACTAGTAGACCACACAGTGCGGGGACAGGCTAGTCCCCTCTCTTGCACCCGACCCCTTCTAGGCCCTGCACCTGACTGTGTTACTGTCTTTTCTGAAGGAGCCCTCGCAACCTTGTATAAATGCTAAGTCCCACCAAATCTGGATTTAATCCTGGGGAGAAAAATCGAGCCTCTTCCCTCAAGGTGCTGACTGCCCAAGAATGTCAGGGCCCCTTCCTGTGCTGCCCCCTCCTCAGTCAGTGCTCCTTCGGGCACGGCCAGCACACGGGGCTCAATTCCACGACCCCAAGGTCACAACCTGAGCTGATGCTTAACTGACTAAGCCACACAGGGGGGCCCCCCCGCAAAGGTTTCCTCTAAAGGATGACACTTCTCTGCAAATAGGGGCACATTTTACTCACACAAAAGGAAATGTGGCCACACGAGGGAGCAAAGAATGGGGAGATTCTCCCCTCGGCCTTAGCTACTTGGAATTTCTAAATTGGAGGCATGTCCTCACCCCCTCAGAAGCTGGAGGTTCTAATCCCACCAACGGCCAATCACATGTCCAACAGGTGCGTAAGCCTCCCCCCTCCAGCTTCAATTTCCTTACAAAAAGGAGACAGTCACACAAGAATTCACAGGGTTGTCATCGGGATCAAATAGAAGAATCTGTATGAAGTAATACATTAGTTCGGTGTCTGATGCCCAGCAAACACGCCGTCAATGGATTTGCCGCGGTTGCTTCCAGGGCTCATAGAGTTTAACCCACCCCCAACGTTCACTAGAACTCTCCATGTTTCTTAGCACAAAGCAACGCCCAGTTATGTTTTTCTACACAGATCGCAGGACAACTGGGGTTTAATGTTGGTGTCCTGTTAGGGCTACCGGGGGCTGTGGCTGGAGAGGGTGGAAATCCCAGCCACCAGTCACACAGGAGAGCACGTGGGTCCTCCGGGACAGAACTCGGCCACAGCAGGGACTGTCCCCGGGGCCCTGTTCACAGGCAGAGCTCCTGTACCTCTAGGCCACCTCTAGGCCTTCCGGGAGTCTCAAATCCTTACGCACACATGGCTGTTCTCTCCATTTCCCTTCAGTAATCTCTGAGCCAGAAGGACACAGTCTGGCCTAGTTCCACACTTGATGGAAAGGGTGAGCGGCGCCCTCCTGGGGCCGGCGAGGGGACGGCGGCCCCACCAAGCAGCCGGCTCTGCCAGCTTAAGGGGACTCGGGGAAGACAAGTGTCCCTCACAGCTGACAGTAGCGGGTCTGAGCTGGGGCTGCTGGGTAAGGGGGCAGCCGTCAGTGAGCACCTTGAACAGCACACCTGAGCTTCGAGCACAAAAGCGGGGAGCCTCTTACCTCCTCGAAAGCATCGCAGCCTGTCACCACGATATTGGGTCTGAACTGGTCCATTTTCACTTTCTTCTCCAGCCTGGTATTCAGGTCCACCAGCGAGGCTTCCGACAGGATCATGATCGGACAGCAGTCCGGGTAAGCCACCTGCACCAGGAACGTGGCACCCTCAGTCCTCCCTGCCCCGTGAGACGCCCTGGCCCAGCTGGAAGGGAAGCAAAGGCCAGAAGGGCTGTGCAGGGAGGGCCAGGGGTGTCATCCCCGCATTCAAACAGCTTGTGGCTCAGGGAAGAAAGAGAGAGCTGCCCGAGGAGCTTGCACTTTGTTGTTGTTGTTGTTTTTTTTTATATTTTTTTCAATTGATTTATTTATTTGACAGAGACCTAGCAAGAGGGAACACAAGCAGGGGGAGTGGGGGAGGGAGAAGCAGGCTTCCCGCTGAGCAGGGAGCCCTACGTGGGGCTTGATCCCAGGACCCTGGGATCATGACCTGAGCTGCAGGCAGACACTTAACAACCGGGCCAGCCAGGCACCCCAGGAGCCTGCATCTTAAACCCTAGCTCACTGAAGAATCCAAGGCTCTGGGCTGCAGCTGGCTCGCTCCAAAGGTGGCTTTTTGGTGCCTGAAATAACCACACCAGACAGACGGCCAGGGGAACCCCAGGAGAAAGTCGGCCTCGGTAATTTTAGGAACGTTGGTTCGGACCCAAACGAACTTCTCAATTCCCCTTCCCAACGTGTCTCCTGAGTCCCCATCTCACCCCATCTCACCCCATCTCACCCCGGCTTCTGCCTCCACAGTACGGGACACGATCCATCCTCCACGCGTGCTGGAGAGCCAGCTCAGCTCAGAGCCGCTTCCCCTCCACCCCCATACCTGCCCGGGACGCACCCTCAGACCCCCTCACCTGGGCATTCCTACACTTTCCTAACCGGGGCCCCCAAAAAGGCGGTCCTGGGGAGTAAGAAGGACGCCGGACACAGAGGGGGGGACTGGTGGAAGGAAAGGGCCGTTCCCTGAAAGCTCACCTGGTAATCCGGCACTGAGGTAGAGAAAATGTCCTTGGACGGCCTTCCCTTCATGTGCTTCTCAAACTGGACCAGCCGGAAAGCCTCTGTTTTCAAGAAGTTGGTGAACCACTGAGCCGCCTGGTCGCCGCAGTCCCTGCCCTTGATGTCCATACCAAAGAGCCTGGAAGGGTCCCAAGGTCACAGTCAAGAGAGCCAAGGTCACAGTCCTGCTGAGAGATGGCCTCAACAATGGGACCGCCAGACCACTGGGACCTGCCCATCCCGGAGCGCCAGGACATGGTCCTCAGGCCAAGAGCGTGAGGCCGACAGAAACAGAAGGGGAGGCAGCAGAACGTGACCCAGGGAAAGGCCTTGCAAACCCTAACATGCCTACCAATGACTGAGATCGGGGTAAAATGCAGACTCTGCTTCAGAAGCAATATTTGCTACATAGTAACCGTTCATCAAAAAGTATTTGGGGACACCTGGGTGGCTCAGCCAGTTAAGAGTCCAACTCTTGGTCTCAGCTCTGGTCTTGATCTCAGGGTCATGAGTTCAGGCCCCACAGTGGGCTCCATGTTAGGCATGGAGTCTACTTCGAAAAAAAAAAATAATTATGAACAAGAATTTGATTAGCATAAAAAGTAAAATTTTGTTTAAAATTAATTTCTTAATAAATCCTATAGTATATGAATATGTCTGTGCATGACTCTTACTTATTGCTGGAATAAGATAAGGTTCAGCATCAACTTTATTCTTTGTGAGTGACAATCTGATCAGTGGCCCCTTCGCTGTAGCGTGTGGAACCCCCAACTCGTAGAATGATCGTCCCTGTCATTAGAGTCCTCTTCATCAGCACCAACGCTCCCCATTATTTGGGCCCACAGGTTTCCTCCCCCAGAGCAATGCTCCCCATTAAGACGCGGGTGGACAAGCCTTTCGTGTGTACAGAGGGGAGGTGGTAGAGGAGGAGGCTTGCACTGTGGGTGCGACTCAGACTGCAGTGAGAGACAAGCATTTATGGGATTGGAGGATCTGATTCTCTCCAAGCATCCTGCCCGCAGAGACCCTCACATACCATGAGAGGGTCTGCACCTCCTCTAGTGCTACCCCAGTTTGAGACCTCCCAGAGCGACATACAGGAAGGAATCGATGTGCGCTTACGAGGTACTCTGGACCAGATGAAGCCCTGGGCTCCCCGATGCCCCCAGGCCCACTCTGACCCTTAGACTCGCCTCCCTTGGGGACGGCCTCTCCCATCTCCTGTCAAATCTCAACACTGCCCTCAAGTGTCTTGGGCCTCTTTCTTCTCTCTAAACCCTCTTTGTGGAGCCCCTGCTTGACTTCTGACTTATTCCCTGCTCAGTCCCAAAGCCTCCCCATGGTCCCTCCTGGCCTCCAGCTTTTCCTCTAGGAGTCTCGTCACACAACCGACTACCTGTGACAGACTGGACCCCACCGTTCACGAGTTCCTGAAGCACCCGCTCCCAGGTCCAGAACGTTCCTCAACCCCTCACAACAACACCCGTGCTAGGGCACACACTTCTGCTCCCAGCTTCCGTCTGCCAGGTGAGCCTTCTGTTGGCACTTTGAAAACCAGAAAGCAGCCAGTGGGTAAGGGAACGCTAAGTCTGCAGCGCCCTTCCCACTCCTGGACGCCGCCCCCGACTAGTCCTTACTCCCTCATCCCGGCAACAGGGGCCACCTTCCCCTCCACCACCCCAGCTTCTTCCACTCTCTCAGAATGTTATGCAAAACCCACCTTTTTCCACATTTTTTAAAAGATTTTATTTCATTTATTTGACAGAGTGCATGCACACGAGCAGGGGAAACGGCAGGGAGACAGGGAGAAGCAGACGCCCTGGCTGAGCAAGGAGCCCCACGTGGGGCTCGATCCCAGGACCCTGAGATCATGACCTCAGGCAGAGGCTTTAACCCACTGAGCCACCCAGGTGCCCCTGTTTCCCACATTCTTTTTTTTTTTTTTTTTTTTTGGTGTTTCCCACATTCTTAATGCTTTGTATCCTGGGGCCTTGCTGATGTGGAAGGAACCCCCCCACCCCCCCAGGGCTAGTTTACACCTACAGGTAGGAACCTTTCCCATGGTGCCAACCAGTCCAACCACCTCCACTCTGGGCTCTTTCAGCCCAGGCCACTGTCCCCTGGCCCTAGCCACCCAGGGCCAGGTACCAGCCACCCACAGACAGCCTCTAGGCCCCAGAGCCCACTGAAATGACTCAAATAGCCAACCCCGAGGCTCTTTACCCCGCCTCGCCTGGTACTTCCTGTGGAAACCACAGTCAAGGCTCTCCTAGGGACGCCTGGGTGGCTCAGTCCGTTAAGTATTTGCCTTCAGCTCAGGTCATGATATTGGGGTCCTGGGATCGAGTCTCCCATCGGCCTGCCCCCAGTTCAGCGGGGAGTCCACTTCTCCCTCTCCCTCTGCCCCTCCCCACTGCACATGTGCACGCGCTCTCTCTCCCTGCTCTCTCTCAAATAAATAAATTAAATCAGCCTCCCTCCTGACTAACACTGCCGCTCCTCTGGGCAACCCCGCATGACAGGCCAAGCCTCCTGTTCCCAAGGACCCCTGACCACGGGAAAGGTCTTTCTTCATCAAAGTCATTTGCACCTCTGCCTGCCTCACTATACCGGAGGAAAAGAAATCCCAGGGACCTGAAAACAGTACTCTGCCTCGCCCACTAGCCCTCACCACTGGATTGATCCCAGCCCTGGCCGGACTTCTCTTCAGTATTTCCTTCACCAAACTCATCACCTACTATACACACTGCGGCTGGACAGGTGCAGGGAGGAGCCTACGGAAAACCGCGTCCGCCTCACGTCCCCAGCAGCCCCAGAAAGAGCACCTGCAGTCCCGGAGCTTGTTTGAGGAAGGCAGCTTGCTCGGCAAAGCCAGCTGGTCCATGCCAGGGGCCTTGAGGATCAGGCGGTCGCCCTCATAGGTGATGGACACCAGCACCAGGCGAGGCTCCTGCCGGGCAGTGACCATGTGCCCATCTTCCTTAATCACCAGCCAAAACCTGCCAAGGAACACACAGGAACAAGTCAGAAAAACCTCTTCCCCTCTCCATGTGCATATTCTGATGCAGAGCAGGAAGCCCCCCACAAACCAGGGGCTGGGTCAGAAGCCACTTACCTCTGCTGTTCTAGGCTCTGTCTTCACACCACATCACATCTAGGGGGAGAACTAAGCCTTCCTGGGAAGGGGAAGGGAGCCTGGCCTGGGGAAGTCCGCTACACTTTTATCTACATTCCGGAGTTACACCACACAAAGGATCTGATGACTAAAAGATATTTAAAAAGCATTGCTCCCCCTGGAGAAAGTAAGTTTCAACGCCATCGACACAGAGCACAGGGCAGTGCGTGAGGAAGGCACTGGTTTCCAAGCAGCTGCTGAAAGAAGGGCTTTCCAAACCTCCATCACCCTGAGAAGCCATCTTTTTCCTTCCCAGGGTCTTGGGCTCACGGGGTTGTCTGGCCTGCTCACTATGGGGTTCTGCGACCAAGGGCATTCCTGCTACTTTGCTCCATTCCCTTGGGGCTGGGCCCTGTTCCTATTTCCAGCCTCATCCCGCGTGCAGAGTTCTGGATGACCCTGCTTTGGCTAATCCTGCCAAAGCCTGCACCCTCAACTTCCGACATGCCCCAGCACCCGACAGGACTCCCTCGGAGATCTGCACCCAGCCAGACCCACGTGCCAGCAGGAATCCACATGTTGAGTTCTGACATGTCAGTCCCTCCCTGAGCTGAGTCTCCTTGTCCCCCGTCCACCTCCGCCTCAGCCCTTCACTGGGGCTCACACGCCCCGCCCAGGGGTTAACCCCTGGGCAGTGACAGTGAGAAAAGGGGGCGGTGCTGGATGTTTTGTGCCACCAGCTGCCAGTGGAAAGTCAGGAGACGACTTGTAGGCAGTCTAACACCAGGAAAGGACAGAGACACCAGTAAAAGATAAAAACTTGCTGCGTATAGCAGACCCCAGCCACTCTCATTATCCTGCCCAACGGGGTCACAGCCTTTGTCCTCTCTTGCATACAAACGATGCCCAGTGAATGAAAAATTATCTCTGTCCTGCCAGATCTGAAAGAAAGTTATTCGTGACCAAGGGGTCCCCAAACTAACACCTTCTTTTACGCCTAAAGCAGGAGTGTGCAGTGTGAGGATGGGTGCAGAAGCCAGAGCTCAGATTCTACAAAAGAACAACAGTGACCAGGGTGATCACAGGGGTGATGGAGCAGCTGGAAAACCTCACGTCTAAACTTCGAAACTGGTCTGGCGAGCAGAAGTGCCTGAGCCTGAAGGGGGGTGGGGGAGAGGGAGCACGCCCCAGCCACAGACAGTCATAGGGCAGTGACGCTCAGGATGATAAACTCAGAGAACTCATTTTTCCAGGAGGTCCCAGTCTGTGCAGAGAGCATCAAGGGCTAGCTTCGGAAGGGTAGGGCAGATTTAGGACCGATGAAGTCATATACACCCACTACGGAGAGCAGGATTTACAAAGTCAAGGAGGGCAGCCAACCCTCCCACCTTCTGTGCCAATCAGGCAATCAGTCCGTTGTGCTAGACGGACTCTGAACCAGCTCAAAGTCCAGGGTGCCCAAACCAAACATTCACAAATTTGTCAAGAGCTTTGAACAAAATAGTCCTAGAAATCTGAGGACAGAGCCCTTATGGAGGAAGAGCCCAGCTTCTAAGAATGGTTCAAAATGGAATTAACTCCAAGAGGCCTAGGAGCGCCCGGGCAGCTCGGATGGTTGGGTGTCTGCCTGCAGCTCACGTCATGATCTCCACGTCCTGAGATCGAGCCCCACATCGGGCTCCTGGCTGGCTCAGCAGAAAGCCTGCTTCTCCCTCTCTCTCTGCCTTTCCCCCTGCCTGTGTACTCTCTCTGTCTGTCAAATGAATAAAACCTTAAAATAAATAAATAAATCCGAAAGGGCTTTTCCTGCATTCCAGGCTGTTATCAGTTTCGTTATCATTGAGAGACTAGCAGTCATTCAAGCAGAGTTCTTTCTAGCTTGTTTCCGAGTTTCAATTATCCTTTAATAAATAAAACCTAGACTAAATAGTGTCTTTGAGCTCATCAAGTCCAAGCCCTTCCTTCAGTAAATGAGAACAAAAAATGAGGCTCAGAAAGTTTCGATGCTGTGCGCAGGTCTCCCACTCCGTGCAATCCTCGCTCTTGCAAATCACACTGGCTTCACAGAAAGTGCATGACTGCTGGACCCACAGGGATCCGCGTTCACACCCCTGCACACAGCTGCTTTGGGTGAGACACTCACCCTTTCTGATCCTGCTGGGTTTTATTTGCAGAGTGGAGATAACGTCTAGGCCACAGGATGGTGCTGAGGCACTTGTGTAAGGTCAACCATGGAACAGGATGTCTGTGTGTGAGGCACACGTGGCACGGAACCCATGGTCATCCCACTGCCTCACCCTGCCTCCTCCCAGTCTCCTCGCCCCACCCCCCACCCCAAGCATGTGTTGTTCAACACAAGGGGAAGTGGACACAGTTCCATTTCTGTTCTGATACCCACTGAAGCAGAAAAGCAAAGGACACATCTTTTCTTCCCACAAAAGCAATAATCACAGCAAAGTAGTGACAATGAGAAGCAGGAAAAGAGTCCTTCAGATGATCCGAAGAGACATAGGTAAGAACTGGAAATCTCTCTGAGAAATGACTTCAATCCTTCAAGTGGGGAAGGAAGTAGCACAAGGAGACTTTCTCTAGATGTGCACCACAAGAACTTGCTTCTCCCAGTTTGGGGAGGGTGTCTAGTACTCTTACACCTAAAGTTTTCCCAGCAGTAGGAAGGCTTTTCTAATCCTTCATACTTGAATAAGCTCTAAACATGCTCTTCTCCTTCTTAATGCCCCAGATACCACCCTTTGATGATAGCATCAGGTTCACCTGGGGAGATCTTAACACTACAAGAGGTGGCTTCCCTCTGGGTGTCTCTAATTCCACAGGTCTAGGATAGGACTCTCAGGAAATTAAAGTTTTTTAAAAAATCTCTCTAGTGGCTCATTAAATGTTACAGTTCCTCTGGTCACTCACTCCTCTCCTAAAACAAGTCAGTCAAAGAAAGACAAATTCCACATGATTTACTCATATGTGGGATTGAAGAAACAAAACAAATGAGCAAAGAGAAAAAGAGACAGACAACCCAAGAAACAGACTTTTTAAGAAAGATTTTATTTATTTTGTTTATTCATTTGACACAGACAGAGAGAGAACATGCACAGACAGGGGCAGGGGTGTGGCAGGCAGAGAGGGAGAAGCAGGCTCCCTGCTAAGCAGGGAGCCTGATGTGGGGCTTGATCCCAGGACCCCTGGATCATGACCCTAGCCAAAGGCAGATGCCTAACTGAACCAGCAAGGCACCCCAAGAAACAGACTCTTAACTATAGAGAATTGATGGTCACCAGAGGGGAGGGGGGGAAGTTGGATGGGTTATATAGGTGATGGGGATTAAGGAAGACACTTGTGATGACCACGGGATGTCCCCATGGAAGTGTTCAATCACTATATTGTACACCTGAAACTAATATTCCACTGTATGTTAACTAACTGGAATTTAAGTAAAAACTTAAAGTTCTGTTGGTAAGTTGTGTACCCTTGATATCATACAAGGAGAATGGAACTTTACTTTTGTGCTCTTCCTCCTAAAAATCCATAATCCCTGTCAACCATAAGGAAAATATGACACAAACCCAAACTCAAAGACACTCTACAAAATGCCCACTCAGGAATCCTCAAAACTCTCAAGATCAAAAAACATAGGAGCTTGAGAAACTATTACAGTCTAGAGAAGCCCAAGAAGTCACAACATCTAAATGTAATCCTCTGGTGGGGATCTTAGGATAGAAAAAGAAGGATGTTACGGGAAAACCAAGAAAATCTGAAAAAAGTATAGGTATCCATCCATCCATCCATCCATCCTCTCTAGGATTAGGGGTGCCTGGCTGGCTTCATTGGTTGAGCATGGGACTCCTGATGTCAGGGTCCTGAGTTCTAGCCCCACGTTGGGGGAGGGGGGGTACAGATTACTAAAAACAAACACAAAACATGAAAGTCTCTCCAGGATTAGAAATCGGAGTGGAGGAGGATGGAAAATCCCCAACAGTTACATGGTCTGCATACACAACACTTCTCTAAATAAGCTGAAGTTTTTCAAAGCCGTGAGAGCCCACATTTTTTAAAGAAGACAGCTGAGAAGAGCAAATACATGTGTCCCGGAGTGAACTCAGGGCAGCAGATAGCCTCCTAGAAGATTCTCTGAATGACCAACTTGCTAACGTCCCCACCCTCTGTATACAGAGGACCACAGCAGAAGCACCCTAGCCCACAGGAAGGCATCTTAGCCCTAACGAACCCAAGAAGGGGATCTGTTCTTCCTTGTCCACTCTTCCTGGAGTGTTGCCTGCTTCACCACCAAGTGAGCCCTCCAGACACCCAGCTGCATCATTCTGAGAGTAAGTGTCTGCAGCCTCAGGCTGGGATGAGTTCAATGACAGGACACCCATTCTTCTCTAAGGGAAATGAATGGAACTTCCATATGCTGGTCCTTACGTGAGTACAGACTTTATTTACCCAGAGTTCTTCATCAAGGACCACTCTGCCTCTGGGGAGAGAGGCACAGTATTCTCTTCAGGGCGAATACTACATTTGTGATGCCCTAGATACCCGCTCTTCCCAACACAAACCTTCACTATGAAAGTGGATCAAGTCTCCCCCGCCCCCTTCCCGGGTCTCCCAAGCACTTGCTCCAGGACTGGCGACGTGGGAGGAGCAAACTTCAGGAGACCAAAGCCAGTGTCCTTGAAGGAGACTTGGTTTCAGCGTTGCCGCCTTCGGCCCACGTGTGCTCCTCCACAGCATTTTATTTTCTACTATCGTGCCGTAGACTAAGAATCAGAAAGTGTAGAACTAGCAGGAGACTTGGCGATAACCCGGTCAGACCCCGTCCTTCACCCTACCTACCTTCCCGAATCGCAACCAGACACGAACTGACCTTCCCAGCTAAAGGATCAAAGGCAAAGCGTCCAACCAACAACCCAGGAAACGCAACATGCAAACCTACTCCTTCCCGCGAGCACCCCCTCTCCAACCCGTCCCGGGCAGGTTCCCCGCAGCCCCGGCCCCGGCCTACCTGTCCCGCAGGTGGCCGCAGCGCAGCCCCAAGGCCGTGCACTCCGCCGCGCTCACCGGCACCCCCTTGCACGACTTGACCGGGTAGATCCAGAGCTGCGCCACGGTGCCCACCTGCTGCAGCCGCCGGCGCCGCCTGCAGCGCGCGCGGCGCCAGGCGACCGTGCCCAGCGCCACGGCGGCCAGTCCCAGCGCGGCCACCCCGAGCCAGGCGGGCCGGGACGGCGCGGGGAGGCCGAGGCGGCCCAGAGCCGACGAGCCGGCGGCGCCCATGGCCGAGCGGGCGGAGACGCGGGCGGTGGCGGCAGCTCCCGCTCGGCTGCCCGAGCAGGGGCGCGGGGGCGCTCAAGGCTGGCGGCGGGCGGGAAGAGGCGCGGCGGCTCGGGGCTGGCGGGGAACTGCGGCCGCGCCGTCACCGGATGTGGGGCGGAGAGCGCCGGGTCTCACCGCCCCCGCACCGCCCGCTTTCCCCCGGTTGGTCACGGGCCCCGCGCCGGCGCCCCCTGCCGGCACCGCCAGGGTCCCCCTCGCGGGACCACCCTCTGCCCCCCAAATCACCCCCGCCGCTCCCCCTCCGCCCCGATTCTGACGCAGCCCCCCCGGCTGCCGGATCGCGCGTTCCGAACCGCACCGCGAAGCGCGTCATGGGCGGCAGGGTGGGAGGTGTTCGGGAACTCCTCGCTCCGGCAGATCCCGCTGAGACATGCAGCACTGGGGGTCCATAAGCCGCGCGATGGAAACATCGGCACTAAGAGAAGACCCAAGGCCAGCGTCGCTTCTGGCCGGGTCCCCGGGATGACCCCAGCCCCTCTCCCACCCCCGCCACATCAGTGAAACACCTGCCTGGGCGAGCTCGCCGCTGCCGGGACACTTCAGGGCTTGCTCCTGCCATCATCTGGGGCTTCAGCCCCGGACCTCCTCCTAGAGCATGCTCTCAGCAGGGCTCACGATTACCAGCCTTCCTCTGGAACCTCTGAGATGTGTTTATGTATCTTCGGCGACTAGAACTAGTTCCAGGACAGTTCTAGTTCAAGGACCTGAGAGCCGTTCCTTCAAGGAGGAACAGGGCTTGTGTCCCTGTCTCTGCGGGAGGATGGGATCCTACCTTCCGTAATTGCCCCTAGCAGGTTCAAGGGCCTGACCACGTTTCCACTGGCCAACTTTGGTCATTTTTCACTTGAGCTCCCCACCGGCACACCATTGTCCCTTTAACGGGTCCAGTCACCTCTGCACAAATGGGACTGGAGCTCCGCTCTTTCCCTTCCTGTCACTAGTTACTGAATAAAATTTGTTTTCACCACTTCAACGTGCAGCTTTGTTCATCTGGACCAGCTCCATTCACATAGGCTTTGTGGTGAACAGGGGATTTTCTTAGACAAGTTCAGGTTTAAAGTTTATTTTGCAAAAGAAAAAAAAAAAGACAAAAAGAAAAGAAAAAAGAAAAGTTATTTAAATTGGGGCACTGTTCTGGGAACGTTAAGGCAACCAGTGGGCCATCTCCCAAATATGAATCAATCACCCTCTGGAGAGAAGGGTCACCCTCCAGGGCAGGAAGGGCCTGGAGGAAGGAGCCAGAAGAGGCAAGCTGCCTTCCAGGGCTCCTTGTGAAAAGTGAAAGTCAAAACCCACCTGAATTCCAACCCCCCCCCCCCCCCCCCCCCCCCCCCCACCCCCCACCCCCCCCACCCCCCCCCACCACCACAAACAGCCCCTGCTGGAAACCCCAGACAGCAGAATTAGCCTCTTCAGGAACTACACAGTCTCATCACGCTCAGCAGCAAGTCTTGGATATCTGTGTCGAGCACACTGTTGTGAATGAGGGGTGCCCCTGATTCCTTTTCCTCCCCAGACTCTAGAAGACAGCCAGAGCCCTTCCCCAACCGGAGCCTGCTGTCAGGTGGAGGTTGTCTGTGAGTCCATCCTCCTCGCTAGATGGGAGCTCCCCGACAGGGAAAAGGTTCCTTATTAAAACATCTGTTCCTTAACACACATTTATAGGTCATTCGCCAGGCTTTGCCCTAGACTGGCACTGGCCATGTAAAGTTTCGAAGAAGATGCCCATACAGGAACTTAGGGAGCCCCTGGCAGACTGCTCGGAAGAGGAGGCATGGACAAGATGCAGTGGAGACAGAATAGGAGTTCCATCTCCCAACCGTGGTGTCTTCAGAGGAGGGAGCTTTCGAGCTGAGCCTGAAACACATGAAGGGTTGGGAGGGGACAGAAGAGGGGATTCTGGGCCAGAGCAGAAGCTCGAACCACGCTCGGAGAAATGCAAGGATCGTGAGGATGTGGCGATGAGCAGCTGTTCAAAAACTTGAGCAGGTACCTCCCATGCAGCTGGGGCTGGGAGTTGAGGCAGGACAGCTGGGCAGGGGCCAAATCGAGATGCTCCGTGTCTCACCTTCATATGGAGACACATCGGAATTCTGAACAGCAGGAGACATAGTCAGACTTGGGTGCTGGAAGGCGACACTGACCACTTCAAGAAGGGGTAACCCCAAAGGTGGGTTGATGAGAAGCAAAGGCTGTAGTTTGGGCCAAAATGATCCTGAATCAGGGGAAAAAACAGTGGAGATGAGATGGGGGTGCAGACATGAGAGGTGGTGGGGAGACACTTAGCAAGAGGTGGTGACAGACGGAGGGAGAGAGGGAGAGAGGAAGGGAGAGAAGGAGGGAAGGAGTGTGCCATGAATCCCAGCTCTCCCGCTTGGCTGGGTACAGGTAGGGTATATCATTCTCTGAGATAAAAAAATACTCAAGGTAAGGAGATGATCCGGGGAGAAAGATGATGAGGTCTGTTGTGCACACTGACCTTGAGCCAAGATCAAGAGTCAGACGCTTTTAGGGGCACACCCAGGTGCCCCTAAGATTTTACTTATTTTTAAGTATTCACTACACCTAAATGTGAGGCTCAGACTTATAAGCCGAGGGGCACCTGAGTGGCTCAGTAGGTTGGGCCTCTGCCTTCAGCTCGGGTCATGGTCTCAGGGTCCTGGGATCGAGCCCTGCCTTGGGCTCTCTGCTCGGTGGGAAGCCTGCTTTCCCCACTCTTTCTACCTGCTGCTCTGCCTACTTGTGATCTCTCTGTCAAATGAATAAATAAAACTTAAAAAAAAAAAACTTATAACCCGAGAGTAAGAGTCACATACTCTACTGACTGAGCGAGCGAGGCGCCCCTAAAAGAATAGAATAATGGGGGGCGCCTGGGTGGCTCAGTGGGTTAAGCCTTTGTTTTCTGCTCAGGTCATGATCTCAGGGTCCTGGGATCGAGCCCCACATTGGGATCCCTGCTCAGCGGGGAGCCAGCTTCCCCCTCTCTCTCTGCCTGCCTCTCTGCCTACTTGTGATCTCTCTCTCTAATAAATAAATAAAATCTTTAAAAAAAAATAGAATAATGGAATGAAGCAGTATACTGACGGCTTGAGCTCAGCCAAGCCCTGTGACAACCTGGCTGAAACTGCAAAATCATCAGTAGTAAGAATGAACTACAGACCTTGAACCCTGTGGAATAAGGGAGAGGCTACACCAGTAATAAGACGTGGACTTGAAGTTCTTTATTGTCATAATAGCTGGTAAAAAGGGCTCCGCCACCTGCTAGTCCAGGGGTAAGAAAAATCTTTTGGAGTGTCCATAGCTCCAGAACGCCAATCTCAAGCAAAATATTTGTCCAACTTTTTTTTTTTAAGTTTTAAAAAAAACTTAAGTATGTCTCAGTTACCTGCCTTCAGCTCAGGTCATGATTCCAGGGTCCTGGGATGGAGCTTCCCAACTGCTTCTCCCTCTCTCCCTCCCTCTGCCTGCTGCTGCCCCTGCTTGTACTGTATCTCTCTCTCTCCCTCTATCAAATAAATAAAATCTAAAAAAAATAAAAGAAGGGGCACCTGGGTGGCTCAGTGGGTTAAAGCCTCTGCCTTCGGCTCAGGTCCTGATCCCAGCATCCTGGGATCAAGCCCCGCATCAGGCTCTCTGCTCAGCGGGGAGCCTTCCCCCCCCCGCCCCCCCCCGCCTGCCTCTGCCTAATTGTGATTTCTGTCTGTCAAATAAATAAATAAAATCTTAAAATTAAAAAGTAAAAGAAGAAGAAGAAACTATGTAAAATGAGTATAAAAGGAGATTTTTTAAGAGTGCCTAGCTGGCTCAGAGGAGGAAACGTGACTTTTTTTTTTTTTTAAGTTTTATTTATTTATTTTGAGAGAGAGAAAGCACAATGTGAGGGGAGACAGGGGAGCTGCAGAGGGAGAGGGAGAGAGAGAAAAACTCCTATACACTCCCCACTGAGCACAGAGCCTAAGGGCAGGGGTGGTTTGGCCTGAGATCACAATCTGAGCCTAAACCAAGAGTCTTGACACTCAGTGGAGAGCCTGCTTCTCTCTCTGCCTGTGTTGCTCCCCACTGCTCGTGCTCTATCTCTCTATCTTGCTCCCTCTACCTCTATCTTGCTCTATCTCAAAATAGATGAATAAAATCTTAAAAAAAAAAAAAGTAAAATCTTTTAAAAAGTTTAAGGAGATTTTTGAACTTGAAACTTAAGTAAATAAAATGATTTAAAAAAAAAAGTAGGGGTGCCTGGGTGGCTCAGTCAGTTAAGCATTTGCTTCAGCTCAGGTCATGATCCCGGGGTCCTGGGATGGAGCCCCCCCCCCCAATCAGGATCCCTGCTCAGCGGGGAGCCTGCTTCTCCCTCTCTCTGCTATTCCCATGGCTTGTGCTCTCTCTATCAAATAAATAAAATCTTAAAAAAAAAAAAAAAAAAACGTAGCCTCTTTTAGGGCCTTTGGGTTCTTGTTCAAGATACATACATAGTGGGCATTTGTGACACCCTGGACTCACTATATGTGAATTTTGTGTCAGTAATAATTATAAAAATGCTAATGTTCACAACACCTTGCATTTTATAGGACTTCACGATTTACAGAATGATTTGGCATCCAGTGAGGTAGGGGCTGAAGTCTGAGAGACAGCGGCACGTGGCCCTGGGAGGGCAGGGGGGGCGTGGCGAAGAGTCCAGGCATAGGTAGGGGCCGGTGGTCTATAAAGCCCCACTGAAAGGACGGATCAAGGCAAATTCATCACGGTTCAGAATCCACCTTTAAGGGTTCAGAGGAGAAAATCTAGCTTTTCAGTGTCTGCGTGTTGACTGGACTCAGGGACTCTAACCTCTGCTAGTAAAAGTCACAGGAGACTGATAATGAAATGAAACAAAAATGCTGTGTTACTCATTCATAGTAAGAAATACCGCCTCACACCCACAAGCGTGCACACCAGTGTGACCAGCTGTGCCCAGGGAGAATGGAAG